GGGTACTGCAGCCGTCATGTTCCAATGTAGCAACTTCCACTGTGGTGTTGAGATCATCTCTCGATCAATCTGCGTCAACTTCTGTCCGTCCTTCACAAAATGCGCTGGCCTCTCAGGGTCTAGCTCAATCATGTCCTCCAAACCTTGTGAGAAAAGCTCCCCGTGCTCTCGGCTGCGCGGGTCAGTGCCCACTCCTTTGTCGACGAGCGGGACGTGTAGATGAGTAGGTGCCACTTCGTGGTAGTTGAGATCCCCCAACGCCACCACCGTCATATGGTCTGGGCAAGTCATCGCAATCTGTACTTCCGCCCTGTTCCTGTTCGTCAGTTGATTGACTTGCAGCGCAGAGAGGCCATAATTGTGTATATTATACATACCAGCATTGTATCCGATCTGTCAGAAATCCCTCTTGCCTTGATCGCCAATCTTTGCGCCCGACCTGGGACGATGTCTGAGTATCTAATCCTTTCATTTTTTCCAACCCCTCTTCCACTTGTTTCTGCGTCACTTCTGGAAGTATGAATGCCGCGCCACCTGCCGCGTGCTCAGGAATCGATGCAACTATAGCCATATCCATTCTTCTCAGATGCAGTTGAGACTTGAGCTCCTCCTTTGTACCATGAACCTCCTGTAACGCAACAACCGACATATTCCTGCAGAACTCCCTCAATTTGTTATTTTTTTTGGTCCGCAACCCCATATCGTGATGTAGTAGCGCCCGCGTATTCCATGTCATGAATGCCACCTGTTGCGGAATGCCTCTCTTAAAGCCTTCTTTCCAAACTTGCAGGGCCCGGTTAAATCGACCATAGCACTGAGTCCTCGACCGCATTGAATGTAGCATTGAACGTATCCTGCAGCGCCTTCTGGTGCACTCCCTGCGACGTGACTGCAGTGTAGTTCCATAGTAATCGGCTCTTGGACTCGAACGAGTTACCCGTCTGTACCGTAATCGTCGGTATGCTGTCGATGAACACAATTCCCTTGGCTCTGTCATGCTTGATTCTTTTGTTTGGTAACTGATCTTTGACAGATTACGCCAGGTGTTTTGTTTGCACCCCCGTTCTGATCTGTCTCGCCGATTTGCCCAGACCCACGAATATTTTTGCCCGTCCACCAGGCACTGCATCAGTCTCAAATGGCCTCCAGTTCTGAGCGTCCCGCTTGAGTGCCCGTCGAGCCGCACGCACTTTGCGCTGTGCAGCATCACTGTTGCCGAGCATATGTATGATATACTTCCTGCTGGCGCTGTCACCAATGAGCTTATACTGGTTCTCCGCAACACCTGCCTCAGAGAGCCACTCAGAGAGCTCCGCATTGACCTTCTCCTTGCTGGCCATCTCCGACAGGCTCGCAATGAGCACCGCCGGGTCTGGCTGGCGATCCCACACCTGCATGTCTTCGTAGTCCTTGATCGGGATGGCCCCCTCTTGGCAGTGCAGCTCTTTCCGCATCTCCTCCATTTGCTTTCGCATCTCGTGCTGCGAGCGTTCCAGCACATCACTTCTTGCCTGAAGATCCGTGAGCTGAACCTGAACTTGCTGATTAACTGCATCCTGCCGCGCAGCCACAGCTCGGACCAAGCCCGTGGAGTGGTTCGATATCTCCGAGATGATGGAAGTCTTGATCGAGCCCAGCTTCGCTTCCACAGACGCAGAGATCTCATCCTTGAACGCTTTGAAGAGGTCGTCCAGGGAACTCTGCTGGTCAGGGGCAAGTCCCCCACGAGCGACTGCGGCCGCAGCAGCGGCACTGCCGCCAGCGGGCCCCCCCCCAGAGGCAGCAGCCGAGCTGGCAGCCCAAGGGTCCGCTCGTCCTTGAAGCGGATCCGCAGAGCGTTGACCAGCAGCAGGACGACGAGCACCAGCGGCCTGAGAGCTCCGATCCTCCTCCTCCGCAGGGGCACCTCGGACTGGTTCCTTTGAGCGTGATCTGCGTTGTTCCCCCGAGCACGAACGACCTTCGCCGCTGCCACGGCTCCGCTGCGAATCTCCCGCGGGAGCGGCGCCGCGAGGGGGCGCAGGCAGCCTGGGCGCGCTGGGGCCATCCGCGGCACCGCCAGGCATGGAGAGAGCCCTCGATGGGGCTCGGGCGGGCAGGAAAGCGGGCCGAAATGGCGCGGAACGAGAAATGAAGATGGGCAGCTGCGGCCAGAGCGAGGCCACAACAGGAACAAGATAATGGGACCCTATCCAACTCGAGAAACGAGGACGGATGGGCCAAATCTAATCGCAACACCTCGGGTGCTTCACCCTTCGTTACGTTTAGACTTGAGCCAAAATGGCTACGGACCTCCCCCACATTCCTCCTCCTCCTCCTCCTCCTCCTCCTCCTCCTCCTCCTCCTCCTCCCCCCTCATGTCCATCCAACCGTCTTCCTCGTCCTCCACCCTCCTCCCTCCTCCTCGTCATCCCCAAAACGCTCGTCCCTGCATCCTTCTCCTCCTCCACCTCCCCCTCCTCCTCCCTCCTCCTCCTCCCCTGCTCCTCCTCCTCCTCCTGCTCCTCCTCCTCCTCCTCCTCCTCCTCCTCCGCCTCCTCCTCCTCCTCCTCCTCCTGCTCCTCCTCCTCCTCCCTCCTCCTCCTCCTCCCTCCTCCTCCTCCTCCTCCTCCTCCTCCTCCTCCTCCTCCCCCTCCTCCTCCCTCTCCTGCTCCGCCTCCTCCTCGTTCCTTCTCCTCCGCCCCTCTCCTCCTCCTTATCCTCCTCCGCATCCCTTCTCCGCCATCCTCCTCCATCCTCCATTCCCATCCCTCCTCGCAGCTCCTACTCACAGCATGCATATCGGCATGCTGGCTCAAGTCCTGCCCACCCGCGCGCTTCGACGCTTCGCCGCGCGCCCACGCGGCCCTGCCAGCCAGGTGCCTGCAGGAAGTCGAGGCTGAGGATGGTGCGCTTGTTTTCCACCACCACCACCATAAATAGGAGGGGGAGGGGTCCTCCTCCTCCTTCTCCTCTTCTTCTTCCTCCTCATCCTCCACCTCCTTCCCACCCCAACTTATGGTGGTGGGAAACAGGCCCATCAGAGGAGGGCCCTCGCGGGTCCCTCCGGGCCCTGGGCTGCCGAGGGGGGCAGCACGCGGGGCGCTCCCTGCGGCGCACGCTGCCGGCGGCCTCGCGGTGGGTCACCCCAGCAGTGGAGTGCGCCTGCAGCGCGCAGCGGATGAGCATCGTTCAACCGATCCCCATTCCCAGCGGCGTGGCCTGGGCACCACTGGTCGATTTACCCCCCTAGATGTGGATGTGGGCCGTTCCCTTCGGGTTTCGAGGGGTGCATCCCCAACTGGGGGGTAATTTGGTGGGGGTCCCGAAGGGGATGGGGATGGGGATGGGGGTCAATTAAACGGTACTGAGCGGAGGGGCTGCTCCGTGCCGCCATCGCCGAGCTCAGCGTCGCCGCGGTGCCGAGCCGTCCGCGCTGGCGCCCCTGGCTGCGGTGCTCCCTCCTCGGAGGCGCGCGCGGCTTCGCGGGCGCGCGCGGCGCTGTGTGATGGGCCCCGCGGCGGCTGCAGCTACAACCGCTGGCTGGAGGCCCAAGCGCGGCGGAAGCCGCAGCCCGCGAAGACGCCGACCCGGTGTGCCTCGTCGACGGCCTGGCAGGAGCGCAAGCGGCAGAGGGCGCGGTGGTGCCCAGGCGTTCGGGCAAGAACCCTCGCTTCAGGGGTCCGTGAATCTGGCGCGGGGGCGCCACGTCCTCGGATCCCCCCGGAACACGAAGCCAAATCTGCGCCTGCGCTTCACGGACACCTGGTCGAAGAGACGGCAAGCGCCGAGGGCGGACCCCTGCTCGACTTGGCGGTCGAGGTGGGCGACGTCCGCGAGCGGCTCTGAAGAAACCAGAAGGTACCAATACCACTACACTAGCCCTCACTTCCCGAACCTCTCCCATGGCGCGTTCGGACCAGGATTTCGAGGCGAATCCGTCTGCGGCGACGAGGGCCTCCCAGGAGGGCGAAACAGGCACAGCACGAGGCAAGGGTAGGCGGTACGGGGTATGGGTACCTTTCCCTCCTTGGAGGCAGCCTCCCTCTCCGATCGTGGAGCTGGAGGAGCTCGCCACTCGGAGCGGGCTCGCCACGCTCTCCGACGCGGGCCCAGCAGCTCTCGCGGGGCGCGGCGGCAGAGCGAAGCCCGCCGTGCCCAGGCCGCGGGGGGGCCCGCTTCGACGGCACGTAGCCCCTGGCGGGGCCGCACGCCCCTGGGGCCGCACTGCTCAGCCCGCCCGGCCCCTCTTTCGCCTCTCCTCGCCCTCTCGGGATTGGGCACGACGTAAGACTGTCCTCGCCCCCTCGACTCGCTTAGCCCAGTGCGCTGTGGCCTCGCCCGTTGACGAGCCAACCTTTTTGTCCAGGTTTGGCCGGGCCTCTGTCTGTCGCCCCCTCGGCTCGCTCTCCCGTCCTCGTCCCCCTGCTGGCCCTTCCTTGCGCCCCTCGTTGGGGGGGGGAGCGGCTGCCTGTTCTCACTCCGTAGGCTTGCGGCCCCGCTGGGGGTGCAGGCCGCCCGTGGCATCTTGTGTGTTTCCCCCGACTGGCAGGGAGCTTTCGGAAGCTCCTCCTGGCGAGCCCAGCGCCCGTGCGAGAGGCCGCCCGCAAGGGCGCAGCGGTGCCAAGACAGCGCACCAACAGGCCGCCGCCGCCGCCGCGACCTCCTACCCCCTCCCTCCGCCTCCCTCGCCCAGCCCCCCCCCCCGCCTCCCCCAGAAGGGAAGGATGAGCAGGAGGCGGAGGAAAGGGGGGAATGGGGAGGAGGGGGAAGAGGGGGAGGACAGGGGAGAAGGAGAGCATGAAGAAGTGGAGGACGAGGAGACGCCTCGGGTCAGAGGCGACGATAGGGGCGAGTAGCCCAGGGGGGAACAATACATGTATCCAGGGACGCCGATGATCTATGTCTTCGGCGAGGCTCCATGGCGAATGCGTGTGATGCCCGCCCCTGGGCTATTCGCCCTCATCGTCGCCGCCGATCGGGCCTCTCCGCACCTTGCCCGCCCCCCCTGCGGAGGGCACCTGGCCATGATGGCCAGATCGTGCTCACTGCGCCGCTCGCGGAACTGCTCTCGGAGGCGTATCCTCCACTGCACCTCCTGCGGGCCAAGCCGGGGCCCGACGGGCAACAGGCCACATCGAGGAGAGGGAGGGGGAAGGGGGAGGGCGAGGAGGAGGGGGGAGGGGGGGGGAAAGCACGGGGAGAGGGTGAGGACGGGGGGTGGGCGTGAGGGGGCAGGAAGGGAAGGGGGGGAGGGGGAGGGGAGGGCTTCGAGGGAGAACGGGGAAAGGGGGATCGGGGAGGCGGAGAGTGGGGAGGGGGAGCAGGAAGGATGAGGGTGATGAGGGGGAGCGCGGGGAAGGGGAGAAGGAAAGGGGGGAGAAGGCGGGGGTGCGGGGAGAATCGGCGGGGGGAGAAGGCGGATCTCGGGCCCAGTCGACGCTCCATCAGCGGCGCGATCTTTCGCAGCAGGCGTGGGAGATCGGATATTCCTCTTGGACCACATGTAGCTGCTGGCCTTGTGTTACATGGCCGCCGATGGAACTCCAGAGGAGTACACGCTGACCTGCGCGATGGAAAGAAACCCGATAACGAGAGCAACGAATCCTGTTTCCAGCGTGCTGTCCGGAGGCCTCAGCCTGGAACTCCGCGCAAGCCCGCGGAAACCCAGGGCCCACGAGCATCCAAGATACTTGACCCCGATCCTCCATGAGAACAACCAGGCATATGACAGGCGACCCAAGCAAGCGACGCAAACTAAAGCTGGCACGCCAGAGGGGAGGAGGGAGACGAGATCTATACATCTCCACCGCCCCTGACCATGCTCATCCTGAGCCCGGGAGTGGTGTAAGTAGATCCCAGATCCCGACGCCTGAACGGAGGCCCGCCCAGTCCAGCAACCATCGGTGATTCAAAGATGGGGTCCTTAGGGATGGGTCCTCAGGATGGGAAGGGATCCAAGGGTGGATTTAAACTGTCTGAACCACTTCGTCTTCAGGGCCCCATCCCTCATCACCCCATGTTTGAACCACCGAAATCAGTCCTGTCTCCAGCGGGCGAGGACAACGGCCGCGAAGCTGGCGAACGCGGCGGCCACCAGAGTGCGCAGCCGCCCCGCAGCACTGCGGTGCGCGCACACCGCGGCCGACCAACTGTGGAAGATGCGGCCCTTTACGCACAGCGCCTTGGCCGGCTGCTGCCGCCGCGCGCGCGGCCAGCTTCCAGCTCCACCTCCACCCCCTCTCCCTTCTCGCTGTCCTCGCTGTTATCGCTCTCCTCGCTGTCCTCCTCCTCCTCCTCCTCCTCCTCCTCCTCCTCCCTCCTCCCTCCTCCCTCCTCCCTCCTCCTCCCTCCTCCCTCCTCCCTCCCTCCCTCCTCCCTCCTCCCTCCTCCCTCCTCCCTCCTCTCCTCCTCCCTCCTCCTCCTCCTCCCTCCTCCCTCCTCCCTCCTCCCTCCTCCCCTCCTCCTCCCTCCTCCCTCCTCCCTCCTCCTCCTCTCCTCCTCCTCCTCCTCCTCCTCCTCCTCCTCCTCCTCCTCCTCCTCCTCCTCCTCCCTCCTCCTCCTCCTCCTCCTCCTCCTCCCTCCTCCTCCTCCTCCTCCTCCTCCTCCTCCTCCTCCTCCTCCTCCTCCTCCTCCTCCTCCTCCTCCTCCTCCTCCTCCTCCTCCCTCCTCCTCCTCCTCCTCCTCCTCCTCCTCCTCCTCCTCCTCCTCCTCCTCCTCCTCCTCCTCCTCCTCCTCCTCCTCCTTCTCCTCGGAACTTTGCCGAGAACATCAAAAAACTGTACGGCACGAGGACGAATAAGGAGGCCACCTTCAGTGTTTCCCGGCCCGCTACCGCGGACACCGCATCCGCGAGCTCTGCCCGCCGCCGCCTCGCGGAGGGCAGCGGTGCAGACCGCCCTGTTTCCTCCGAGGACGGTGCGCAGCTGCCGGGCCGTCGCTCCGCGCAGGGCGATCGAGAGCTCGGCCCCCCTGCGCTGCGCTAGGGCACTGGCAGCCGCCGCGCTGCCCTCTTCCTCTCCCGCCAGGCCCTGGGCGAGGTCACGCGCCAACAATCGCAGGTGGCGCAGAGCGGCCCTGCCGTGCTGGCCCCCTGTCTCAAGGGCCACGGGGAGGACGGACCACGGCGCGCGTCCGGCCGGACAGCGGCGCCGCTTGTCGCCTTCCGCTTCCTCCGGGCCGCTGCCACGAGGTGCCCGGCGTCGCCTGGCACGGCGCACTGGACTGTGACGTCTGCGAACTGGCGCGGGCATCCCGGCGCCTGCGCCACAAGGCTCAGAACGGTTTCCTCCCGCTCAATCTGCAGGGGGGCCCCCGAACCCGCTGCATGGCCCTGCGGGCGGGTCGAGCGTCGTGCCCCGCGAGTTGCAGCGCGCGCAGCGCGCCATTTCCAGCGGTCCCACGCGGGGACCGGAACATGGCGCGCGGTGTGGTAACCGCACTCCTTGTGGATGCGCCCCCGCGCGTCTTCCACTGCCCGGCTGCGCGCCACCATGTCGCCGCCGCACGCGCACCGGTAGGCGTGGCGCGCTGTGGAGCACAGGATCTCCCAGCAGTGCTGTCTAGCTCGTGGGCCCGTGCGAGTGCGGTTCTGGCAGCGGGCGCCCAGGGGCGCGCAGTCCTGGCCCAGCAGGGCGCCCGCCGTGGCGCAGTAGTCTGCGTCGCCGAGTCTCTGGCCCGCGGCCCCCGGCGAGGCCAGCTGCCAGCCGGCCGCGTGCGGGCCGCCGCAAGAGCGCAGGCTCGCTCGTTCCTCGAAGCTGGAGGCGCTTAGCACGGCTGTAAAGTGTTTGTTGGTCAAGCTGTTGCGCGAGCAGCTTCTGTAGTTTAATGGTGCGGTTCGGCGGCGAGGTCGCACCAGAGCGGCAACGCGTGCTCGGCCCCTCCCACAGGGGCGGCCGCGGCGGCCTCCTCCTCCTCCTCCTCCTCCTCCTCCTCCTCCTCCTCCTCCTCCTCCTCCTCCTCCTCCTCCTCCTCCCCTCCTCCTCCTCCTCCTCCCTCCTCCTCCTCCTCTCCTCCTCCTCCTCCTCCTCCTCCTCCTCCTCCTCCTCCTCCTCCTCCTCCCTCCTCCCCCCCTCCTCCCCTCCTCCTCGTTCTCCTTGTTCTCCTCGTTCTCCTCGTTCTCCTCGTTATCCTCGTTCTCCTCGTTATTTGTCTTCTTCTTATTCTTCTCTTTCTCCTCCTCCTCCTCCTCCTCCTCCTCCTCCTCCTCCTCCTCCTCCTCCTCCTCCTCCATCTCTCTTCCTTGCAAGAAGTTCCCACCTGTCGCACCCCGAGACGCGTCGGCTGGGCGGGCCGGGCGTTTCGCCTGAGACTTCCTCACCATGTCCGATCCTCAAGCTTAAGATTGGCAACATATTCACTGATAGAGCCTTAGCTCCCTCTCCCCCTTCTCCCCCTACTTTTCCTCCTCCTCCCCCTCCCTCTCCCCCTCCACAGCTCCTTCCGTTCCTCCACCTCCGCATCCATACCTTTTCGTGTAAACAACTCTCCCGTTTTGCACCCTCAGACGTATCGGTACAGCGGGCCAGGCGATTCGCCTGAGACCTCCTCGCCATGTATGGTCCTGGAGCTTGAGAACTACAGCAGTTCCAATGAAGAAGGGCGGGTGGTTTTCAACATGTGGCTCTCGCCGTAGCGCAACGCACATTCGTTTTAGAAGGTTGCGGCATATTCACGGATGGATGGCGATACCTTTTCAAAATGGCTCTCGCCTTCGCGCCGCGCACATTCGCCTAAATAGTTTGCAAGAGGTTGGGGGCTATAATCTAGTCAACATATGACTCTCGCCTCGACGCCACGCACCTTTGTCTCAAGAGTTCGCTGCAGTGTCAAGGGTTCTTATGATTGACGTTTCAAGAATTGCGTTTGAGCACGATGTAAGACTGTCAGGGCGCAACAGTGAAGATGCTTCGCTGCGATGAAAGCCCACTAATGTTCTGGCACGATCCAGGTTCTTCAAGACGCAGCGGCAACGTTGATTCGCGACGCTGAAGTCCCGGGAATGGTGTTCTGACGGTTCGGGATGTTCAAACTTTTCTCTTCCAACGGGGCACTCTTCTCAGTGAAAACGAATATCTGTGGGGACCTGTGACGAGGGAACTTGGAGGGAGGGTTGATTGCAGCATCGTTGATGGGTCCTGGATTTACACTGGTCCTCCTACTCCTCCTCCCTCTCCTCCCCCTCCTCCTCCACTTCCTCCTCCTTCTCCCCCTCGCACTCCCCCTCCTCAGCTCCTTCTGCTTCTCCTCTACCTCCTACCCCGTACCTTTTCCGTATAAGCAACCTCCCTGTCGCACCCCTGGATTTATCGGTATGGCGGGCCGGGGCGGGTCGGATTCGCTTTTTAAAGCAATGTCAAGGGTGGAGGGCGGGTTCTCTTCAAAATGAGGTCCTCGCCTCAGCGCCGCTCACATTCGTCTCGCTTGCAGCAGCTTAACTGATGGATGGCAGTGGCTTTTTAAAACGTGGCTCTCGCCTTGGCGCCCCGCGCACTCGTCTTAAAACGGTGCCTTGGTTTGCAGCGTGCAGATGGCTGAAGTCCCATAATGTGTTCCCTGGTACGATGTAGGATAGCCAGGGCGCAACAGGTCACATTGATCCTCGGTGGTTGAAGTCCCAGGAAAGGTATGATGGGAGGATTCGGGGCTGTCAGGGCGCAAAAGCCACGTTGATTCGAACCGCTGAAGTCCCAGGAATTCCATTATGGCACGATTTGGGATTCTCAGACGATCGTCTTTTAATGCGGCACTTCCCACAATGCACATACATAATTGTAGAGTCGAAGGGTAACTTACACTATATACTTGATGCGTCTCGGGTGCATACTAAACGAAGCCCCTCCTCCTCCTGCACTCCCTCTCTCTCTCTCTCGCAGCGCCAAGGAGCGTGCCCCGCTCTGCGAGGGCACCGCGCGCAGCAGCCGCGGTACCGACGCTCGACGACGTCGGTACGCTCCGCCTCTTCCTCCCACTCCTCGCCCATGTCCTGCACCCTCCTCGTCGTCGTCGTCCCCAGACCTCTGGCAGTCCCGAAGACTCGCACGGGAGGGTATGTCTTTGCCACTCGCGTCGGCCGGAGGCCGGCTCTGGGACCTGGCGCCGTCACTAAACAGCGACGCAGAATGAGAAGCCTGTCTGGGGGCTGGGGTGAGCTCCAGGTCGGTGGTTCGAAGATTGGGGTCCGAAGGGACGGGGTACTGAGGATAGGAAGAGATCCGAGGGTGGATTTACATACGTTGTTTGAAGCACCTCATCTTTGGGACGTAGGACCCCATCCCTCAGGAACCCACCGATCAGGGGCTGGCGATTCGAAAAGACAGGCCGTTGCAGGTAAGTACGGGTCGTCGTCCGCGCAGCGTAAGACGTCGAGCCGACGCGGGCGACAAGCCGCGCGGGTGCGAGGGCCGAGCCAGGTGTTTTTGCAGCTGGCGGCAGCCAGGCGTCAGCCGCAGCAGGCGTCAGCCGCAGCACGTCGGGCTAGGTGCGAGCGCTGGCGGTGGCAGTGCTGGGCGAGAGACCTCGCAGAGACGGCAGCAGACTGTGCACACTCCTTTTCTGTCAGCGCGCTCTCGGCGTGGGCTCTGGCCAGCTGGCGGGCAAAATGCCATTCTGGCACCAGAGTGCTGTTAGCGCTCTCTCCTGCTATTGTTTTATGTCGTGGGCGATCCGAGCCGCCGTCATCATCCTCCCTGTGACCATCGCATCCTCACCGACGCCGCCATCGACGTCATCATCAACATGCTCGCCGCTGCACCGTTGACGCTGCAATCACCGTCACCGCAATCATTAACATCATCACCCCTGTCTTCCCCACCATTGCCAACGTCAAATCGTCGATCACGGCGGCCATCGTCACGCGCCGGCCACCAGTCGCCGGATCGTCACCTCGGTGCCCCTCCCCTCCGGAGGGTTCCAAAGGGGGTTTTGGGGGAGGGCGTTCTCCAGAGAGCCCCCCAGGGGCCTCCAAACTTCGTCAAAACAGAGGGTGCGAAGCCCCTGGGGGACCCCCTGGAAAACCCCCTCCCCAAAAACCCCCGTTGGAACCCTCTGGCCACTGGGCGGCACCGTCACGATGCGCGCGCGCTGCAGGGCCGCCTGGGGGCGTGCGCCACGGCCGAGAGAGAGCTATGCGAGTAGGCCGCCGCCCGCCGCGGGAGGGCGGCGCCGAGCACGACAGGAGAGCAGCAAGCATCACCGCGGCACGTCGGTCGGGAGAACTGCGCAGGCAGAAACTTCTTTTGTTGTGCCGGCGGCGAGGCAGAGGCTGTCCGCTCCAGCGTGTGGCACGTCGGGGCAAGCGAAAGGCTACTTGGCCGGCGTGCACTAGGGGGGCACAGGCAGGAACACGTACCCCAACAAAAGATCGGGGCGCGGCCAGCGGGCTCACGGCGCGACGGAAAACGTAAGGAGTTCCTCGATGTGTTTGCATAATTGGGAGAGCGATCGAAGTGGGTTGAGGTCTGAGGCTCCGAGCGACCTACCTGAATGACCGACGGGCACCACGCAACTTCACTTGACAGTCCCGCTCTCTCTTCTCTTCCTCCAACTACTCTCGCCTGTTCCCCTTACCCCTTCTCCCACATGTGCCACACCTTAGCTCCTGACGCGTTACCCCTCGTCCCGCCTCTCCGCTCCATTACTATTCCTCCCTCGACCCTGCTCGCTCTACCCTTCCCCCCCTATCTGCTCCCAGGAATTCCTTCTGGCATGAACCTACCCATTCTTCCCCGTTCCTCCTCGCCATCTCCGCCCCACGTTCTCCTCCTCTCCTCCTCTCCTCATCCCCCTCCTTCTCCGTTAACCTGCAGTTGGTACAACTCCATCGAGTCTGAGCACACGTTGAAATCAGACGTGATGCGACAATGAAAACCACCTGCGACATCGCCCTAGAACAAGCAGCTAGTTTTTTCCGAGAGGTGGCAGAATACCAGAGGGACAGACAATGCCGATCGTGCTGCCTTTCGGCTTGAAAAGGGGGTGGCGGGGGAATGGGTGCAACTTTTGCTTTGCGATTGACGTCGGATCGGATTCGTGATGTATCCATCCAACGATCTCGCCACCTACCCATACCGAGGCTCATCACTGCATGTCTACCAACCTGTCTTGAATATACTTCATGTCTTTAGATGTCACTTTTCGTCCGTCGATGTAACCACAACGCAGTCGCAGGAACACCACGGAGAAACCACGGAACAACCAGAAAACAACCACAAGAACACTACGGGACATCCGCGGGGCAACCACACAACCACAAAACAACAACGGATAACCACAAGACACCCCAAAACAACTACGAAACAACGACGGAACACACACACGGAACAACTACGGGACAATCACAATACAACCGCGGGACAACGTCAGAACGAGGACGGTACAACCTCATGACAACCGCAAAACAACCTGCGGGCAACCACAGAATACCAACAAAACAACCACAAACTTACCACGGGACCGCCACGGGACAATCACCCGGACAACCGCCGGGGCAACGGGAGGAACAATCTGATGGCTGTCCACCCGGACAAGACTGAAATGGTCTCGCCCTCGCCCCTCGCACAGCTTGGCCTCGCCAGTTCGCGCGTCACGAACGTCACGAACCGACGCCGACACATTTTCCGGTTGGGGGGCTCACCACAATCGCACCCCGCAACGACCGACCCGTGCCACACCCAACATGTGTCAGGACTCTGACGAACTCAGTCCAGGTCTGCAGAAACTGAATCAAAATACGACGTGCGGTTAAAGACATACCACATCAATCCGACACATCCTGGGCCTGGAATCCAAGACAGTGCGATCATTCAAATGCTGCTTGCTCGACCGCTTGCCACGACGATGAATGGCTGGGCCTAGCTTGCTCCTACATCTTTAAACGCAATGGCGTCAAACGGAAATCAACATTGAATCGGTAGAGATCCGGGCTACTGTGACACTTCAGGTGAACCAACACACGTTGGCAAACACGACGATAACGGAGTGCTTCGCACGAAACTTCCTCGACCTCTCCTCCTCCTCCTCCTCCTCCTCCTCCTCCTCCTCCTCCTCCTCCCAAGACGAAGCTCCGTGATGCCATGTGGCGATTGTACGCGTGCGACCTTGGACCGTACAGAGGAGGAAAGGGGAGGTGGGTCGCAGGAAAGGGAGGCGAACAGGAAGGAACTACAGCACAGTAAACATTACTTTCCCGCTGTTGCAATGCAATCGCTTTGGCTTCCTGCTTCTCCTCCGCATCATCCCGCTCTCCCTCCCCTCATCATTCCCCATCCCCCTTCCTCACCTACGACTGGAGCCTCCAGAAATCTCCCGAGAATTCCTCCAAAACCACATCACGTCCCAGGACCCCCACCCAAACCGGTCCCCTCGTCGTCCATCCCCTCCTCCCTCCGCCGCCTCGGTCACTTCCGACGAGGACTTCGACGACGGCGCCGACGCCCGCGCGTGAGAGCGTGCGCAGGCTGACGCAAGCGGTGCGGGAGAGTCTCGCCACCTCAACGCTGCTCGTCCCCGTCAGCCAACCAGGACGCCCGTGGATGATGACCGGGAGTGAGCGGAGGGCGGAGCGGAGTGGGAGTGGGGCGGCGGCGTCGGCAGCTGCCGCGGCGACGACGACGACGAAGGCGACGACGACGACGGCAGAGAACGTCGACGATGACGACGGCGGAGATCGATGACGACGGGGACGGCGGCGGCGGTGGCGACGCAGTGGGGCAGAGGGGGGTGGGATGGCGGCGACGACAGCGGCGGCCGCGAAAATCACAAAGAAGGTGACAAAAAAACTACGACGACGACAACGACGTCGTCGACCAGCAGAACGTCGACGGCGGCCGGCAGACGGCCGGCCTGGCGCCGGTGCTCCCGGCGCACGTCCGCCAGCCAGGCCTGCGGGTGCGCGCGCGCCCTTGGGGGAGGGGGGAGTGGGGGCGGGGCTCGGCGAGGGGGGGCGCTCGGAGAGATGGTTCGAGGGCGCGCAAACATGGATTAGCGACACATGGATTTGGCGCGCGGTCGCCAAATCTATGGATCGGGGGAGGTGCCCTCCCCAAAGTGCGGCCGGTTGCGCCTCGCTCGGCGGCGGAAATCCGCGATTTCCCATGGAAACGCGACCCGTCGCTAATCCACGCCCCCTTGATCCATATTTGCGATCGCCTGAATGGTGTGGCAAGACAGGGAAGGTGGAACAGTTTGGAGGGCGTTGCACTCTAGACTCAAGCGGGTTTACTTGTGCGCCGCACTCCCCCCCCGCCACCGTTTCAAACAACGCTAGGCCGAAGAGGCGCGCAAGTGAGTCTGGACTAGCATGGAGGTCGAATTTCCTCTCGGGCCCCGCCACGCCCCTCCCCCCGCCATGTAAATAAATCTGCTGGTGTCCACAGAAAACACCGTCTTGGCGGTGCGCACAACGGTGTGGCGCGAGCGCGGCGGACTTCCAAGAAGGCAGGGGAGCTTCTCAGAAGACGGGGGGCCTCCAGACCCCCCCCGCCTTCCCAGAAGGCTGCCCCCTCGCGCCATCTCCCGCTGCGCGCCGCCGAGTAGGGGGGGGGGGCCAGCTCGAGGGGGACGCATCGAGGTCGCATCGGCGACACATCGCCAACAAATCAGCGATGGGACCCCCGAGAGAGAGAGGGAGGGGGAGACCACTCGTTCCGGCGGTGGACAAACCTCCCTTTAATGAACCTCCCCTCAATAAAGGCGGCCTACGACCGAAACCGACGGACCTGGAGCCGCAAATATGACAGCCGCGACGCCCTCTCGCGAACCGAAACGGCCAATTCTCTAATCGACGTGTCAGGGTAGGATGTCTATCCGCCTCCGATCGTTCCTGGGCGGGGTGGGCCTTCAGGCCGCTGCCGATGACGAGCGGGCGAGTGGGGGTCGCTGCGTGCAGGGCAGGCGGCGATCGGCCGCTACCCGTGCGCGCGGGCCCGGGAGCGCCTCCTCGGGAGGACGGCGGTAACTCGGGGGCCCGGTCTAAACGGCAGAAAATCCACCCCCATAATAACCACCCCGACACGCGAAGCCGTTTACAAAACGCCCCCACTGGAGAAATCGAACAGGGCAGGGCTGTATAATAATAAACGCGCAAGGCCGTTCAACAAAAACGGTGGTGTTTCCTCCTTTGACTATCGCAGGTGATGCTCCGTCCGGCGGCGTCGTGGACCATGCGGGCGTCGCTTGGCGATGCTTTCGTGCTGGCACACGCGCGCTGGAGGAAGAGGTCTTCGAGGACCTCGGCCTGACCGTCCAGCAAGTCACCACTCGGAGGCACGCAGAGGGGAGTTGGACGAGGGGGGCGGCCTTTGAGCATCGTTTAGCCGATCCCCATCCCCAGCGGCGTGGCCTGGGCCCCACTGGCCGATTTACACCCCTTGATAGGGGATATAGGCCGTTCCCTTTGGGTTTCGAGGGGTGTATCCCCAACTGGGGTGGTAATTTGGTGGGGGTCTCAAAAGGGATGAGGATGGGGATGGGGGTCGGTTAAACGATTCTGAGCCTTGAAGACGACAAGGGGGTTCTCAGAAGTCCTCCTGCCTAGGAGGACCACCCTGTGAGACACCTTCTTCGACGCATCTGGGTCCGTCTCAGAAGGCCCCCCCCCTCGCCCAACCCCCTTGAACGAGCCGCGACAAGGATGGATGGATGGATGGAGGGCGGGGACGGATGAGACAGAGGGAGGACGAGGGAGGCCGCGCAGGAGGGGGAGGGCGAGGGCCGAGGAATCAGCAGCGGGTGCCCTGGTCCGTTGGCCACGGGGCGCGGCGCGCCCGAATCCTCGGCGGTGCGCCCAGAACGCCACCTGGGGCTCCCCTCCGCCCCGCTCGCGCGCCCAGGAGGCCCGAGGAGGGAGCCGATCTTCGAGGGCTGCCATCGTCGATGCTAGTCGTAAGCACGGCTCCCAGGAGCACAGGAAAGCCGCATCGTCCTCCCCGAGGCAGCAGCACGCTGCCCCTCGCCCGGCGCGTGGCGCAGCGGAACCACCGCCGCCACCGCCAGGGGGTTGCCAGGTGTGCACCTGGCCCGAGAGGAGTCCCCAGCTTTTCGCTCCACTCCGGACTCCCTGGGGCCCTCTGGGCCCCGTGATGGGGTACTCTGAAGGCAGTGCCCTGGAGGCTCTGGAGGCCGTGGTGCCTGAGGGCCTGGAGGCCGTGGTCCCCAGCTTCAGCTTTTCGCTCCACTCTGGAGGCTCTGGGGGCTTCTCTGGGCCTCTTGCTGGGGTGCCCTGCAGGCCGTGGTGCCTCGAGGGGACCCCCCGCGACGCCTCGGGCCAGGGACGCCCCTGGGGAGCACCCTCGACGGGCGGGGAATCGCCTGCGCGGGGGTGGGGCGCTGGCCCGCCGAGCCGAGCGCCACCGCGCGCGCGCGTGCGCCTGGAACGCTGGCGCAAGCGCCCTCGGCCCCGCCCGCGCGCCCAGCAGCTGCAGCAGCTCCTGGCGCCGCGGGCCCAGCCGCAGCCGGCGGCCCCGCGAATGGATCGGATGGAGGATCGAGGTTCGGGGTTCGATCGTGTGGGGGATCCGCTTGAGGATCGGACGGAGGGTCGGGTGGAGGATCGGGGAGAGGGGCGGGAAAGGGGAGGCGCCCCCCGACAGTCGCAGAACAAAGCGTTGGTCGGTCCATCATCCGACCGATCCTTTCGCGTGCGCGCGCAGAGAATCGAACACAGGATCGGATGGGGGAATCGAAATCCGGATGGAGGATCGGGTGGAGGATCAAGGTGCGGGGTTTGGGTGTTCTCGAAACTTCGCATCCTTCCTTGCCCACAGCACGGCGTCACACACAACAAAGGCGAGCAAAAAGCCTTAACGACAAAATGCTCCGACTGAAAGACCCCACATGAAAATCCTTTCGGTGAATCTGGAAATAACCTTCACTGTCGTCACCGCGATTAACGAGGCGCCCTTGTTGTCTGTTTTGCGTCATTATCATTATCGCCCTGGCGCAGGGCCCTCACCCGCTCCCCGCATTGTCCTTGACTCACCCTCCTGCTGTTTGTTTCGTCACCAACCACCTCCTCTCCTCTCTATTGCATAGGGAGAAGGCCCCCGCCTAAGACTTCCTCGCAATTCACTCACAGACGAGCCTCCCGCCTGATACTTCCCCCATGTTCAGGCCTCGGGAGCCCAAGCGTGACGACAATTACAAGTTCGAGAATGGCCCGCTGGGATTAAACATGTAAACTGCAGGCCCCATAGGGAGAGGGATCCCGCCTGAGACTTCTTCGCAAGTCACTCACAGACGAGCCTCCCGCCTGATACTTCCCCCATATTCAGGCCTCAAGAGCCCAAGCGTGACGACAGTTAAAAGTTCGAGGATGACCCGCTGGGATCAAAAACATGAAACGCGGGCCCCATGGGAGAAGGCTCCCGCCTGAGCTTTCCTCGCAAGCCGCTCACAAACGAGCCTCCCGCCTGATATTTCCCCAAAGTTCAAGCCTCAGGAACCAAGAAGTGATGAGAGTTACAGGTTCGAGGTTGACCCGTTCGGATTCATTACTCCGGCGGAAAAGACCCGACATGAAAATCCTTTCGGCGAATCTGGAACTAATTTTCGCTGTCGTCATTGCGACTCGTGAAGCCGACATGAAGTGCGGGCCCCATAGGAAGAGGGCTCCCACCTGAGACTTCCTTACAATTCACTCACAGACGAGCCTCCCGCCTGATACTTCCTTCATATTCAGGCCTCAGGAACCCAGAAGTGACGACAATTACAGGTTCGAGGATGACACGCTCGGATTAACAAACCAAATGCGGCAGCCATAAGGAGAGGGCTCCCGCCTGAGACTTCTTCGCACGTCACTCACAGACGAGTCTCCCGCCTGATACTTCCCCAAAATTCAACCCTCAGGGGCCCAAAAGTGACGACAGATACAGGTTCGAGGATGAACATGAACCGCTCGGATTAAAAACATGAAGCGAGGGCTCCATAGGCAGAAGGCTCCCGCCTGAGATCTCCTAGCAAGTCGCTCACAGACGAGCCTCCCGCCTGATACTTCCCCCATATTCAAGCCTCTGGAGCCCAAACAAGACGACAATTACAGATTCGAGAAGGACCCACTCGGATTAAAAACATGAAATGCGGCACCCATAGGGAGAGGGCCCCCGCCTGAGAGTTCTTCGCAAGTCACTCACAGACGAGCCTCCCGCCTGATACATCCCCCGTATTCGGGCCCCGGGAGCCCAAAAGTGACGACAATTACAAGTTCGAGGATGACCCGCTCGGAATAAAAAAATTGATTGCGGGCTCCATAAGGAAGGGGCCACCGCCTGAGACTTCCTCACAGTTTATTCACAGACGAGCCTCCCGACTGATACTTCCCCCCATATGCAGGCCTCAAGGGCCCACACGTGACGACAATTACAAGTTCGAAGATGACCCGCTTGGGCTCAAAACTAAAGCGCGGACCCCATATGGAGAAGGCTCCCGCCTGAGACTTCCTCACAATTCACTCACAGACAAGCATCCCGCCTGATACTCCCCCAATGTGCAAGCCTCAGGAGCCCAAAAGTGATGACAATTACAGGTTCGAGGATGACCCGCTCGGATTACAACATGAAATGCGGCACCCATAGGGAGAGGCCCCCCCGCCTGAGACTTCGTCGCAATTGACTCACGGACGAACCTCCCGCCTGATACTTCCCCCAGGTCCAGGTTTTAGGAGCCCAGAGGTGATGACAGCTACAGGTTCGAAGATGACACGCTTAGATTCGTTCGTTCTTTATGTATGAAATGCGGGCCCCATAGGGAGAGGGCTCCCGCCGGAGACTTCCTCGCAATTCACTCACAAACGAGCCTCCCGCCTGATACGTCCCCCATATGCAAGCTAGCGAATGAGTGGGCGAGTGAGTGAAAATCACTGAATGAATCATGATGATGATGATGATGATGATGATGATGATGATGATGATGATGATGATGATGATGATGATGAGGATGATGAGGATGATGAGTGAGTGGGTGGGTGAGTGTGTGATCGAGTGATGGTCAAAGTGATCAACATGGCCAATCTGTGAGCGAATGCAACTGTGAGTGTGTGAGATATGACGATGATGATTGTGATGATGATCGGTGAAGGAGGGAATGGGAGTGAATGAGTGAGTGAATGAGTGAGTAATGGTGGTAATGCTATTTTAATAATGATATAATATCATAGGCCCGCGGGGTGCGCGGGGTGTCCGCGGGCCCCATAGGGAGAGGGTTCCCGCCGGAGATTTCCTCGCAATTCACTCAGACGAGCCTCCCGCCTGATACGTCCCTCATTTTCAGGCCTCAGGAACCCAAAACTGACGACCGCTTCAGGTTCGAGGATGACCCGGTCGATCATAAAAACATGAAGCGCGGGCCCCATAGGGAGAGGGCTCCCGCTTGAGACTTCCTCGCAACTCACTCACAGACGAGCCTCCCGCCTGATACTTCCTTCATATTCAGGCCTCGGGAAACCAACAGTGACGACAGCTACAAGTTCGAGGATGGCCCGCCCGAGTAAAAACATGAAACGCGGGCCCCATAGGGAGAGGGCTCCCGACTGAGACTTCCTCGCGTTCACGCACAGACGAGCCTCCCATCTGATACTTCCCCCATATTCAGGCCTCGGGAAGCAAAAGGTGACGACAGTAACAAGTTCGAGGATGACCCGCTCAGAGTAAAAACATGAAGCGCGGGCCCCATAGGGAGAGGGCTCGCGCCTGAGATTTCCTCGCAATTCACTCACACACAAGCCTCCCGCCCGATACCCCCCCCATATTCAAGCCTCAGGAGCCCAACAGTGACGACAGTTACAAGTTCGAGGATGACCCGCCGACCCCCGCCTGCCCCAGGTGAGAAGGCGTATGATATGATTCGCTGTCCCCCTCCCCCTCTCCTCTCCCATTGTCCAAAAACTCGTTTTTTTTGGGTCTAAGATAATTAGGGGGCACAGGCCGGAGGCCTATGTCCAACAACTCCGCCGACCCCCGCCTGCCCCAGGTGAGAAGGCGTATGAGATGATTCGCTGTCCCCCTCCCCCTCTCCTCTCCCATTGTCCAAAAACTCGTTTTTTTGGGGGGGGGTCTCAGATAGGGGGCACAGGCCGGAGGCCTATGTCCAACATCTCCGCCGACCCCCGCTTGCCCTGGGTTAGAAGGCGTATGAGATGATTCGCTGTCCCCCTCCCCCTCTCCTCTCCCATGAACCAAAATCTTGTTTTTTTTTGAGGGGGGCATCTCAGATCGGGGGCACAGGCCGGGGCCTACATCCAACGAATCCGCCGACCCCCGCTTGCCCTGGGTGAGAAGGCGCATGAGATGATTCGCTGTCCCCCTATCCCCCTCGCTACGACATCTGACTGTGCGAATAAAAAGAAAATCTACGCCATGGTAAGGGATGGGAGGGAGGGGTAGGACGTCAGATATGACGCGAGCGCGCCTGGCTTGCCCCCTCCCCCTCTCCCCCTCCCAAATGATCAAACATTTTGTTGTATTTTTTGGGGGGGGCTCTGCGGGTTTCCCTGGCGCACCGCCGGAGACCTCGCAGCATCCAAGTCTGCTTTCCGTGGCCCCCGAAACGTTCCAAGACGATCCCGAATCGCCGAACGACTGCCCCAAGACGCCTACGATGGCTCCAAGACGCCCCAAGACGGCTTCGAAACGCCCGAAGAGAGGCCCCAGATCCTTCCCAAGAGAGCCCGACAGGCGAACATCAATGGTGTCCCGCAGGTTTTCTTTGGCCCCGCAGACCGCCCCAAAACTGCCCAAGAGGATTTTGCACGGGGCCCAGGACGGCCCAAGAGGGCTCCAAGACGGCCCAAAGAGGCGCCCAAGACGGCCAAGGAGCGCTCCAAGAAGGCCCCACGAGAGGCCAAGAGGGAGAACACGAATTGAAACTCTTATCTTCCGCCCGAAGAGGCCCTCCAAAGGCCCCAAGAGGCCCCCAAGAGGCCCCCAAGTGGCCCCAAACAGGCCCCCGGTAAGCCCCAAGAGGCCCCCCAAAGGCCCCCCAAAGGCCCCCAAGACGCTTCAAAACTGTCTCCAAGAGGCCCCACCAGGCCCCCTAAACAGCTCCCAAGAAGTCCATGACGCCTCAATTGCGTATTCCCTATTTTGTGGAGTGGTCGGCGGAGCCTCTTGAACAACAATTGAAACAATTTCCAATCAGGGTCTGTGACGCGAGACAGAAGTTACAACAAATAAACATTACCCTGTGACGTACTCTATACATGTGGCGATGATGCTCAGGACCACTCAATACTGACTGGCATTCTAAAGGACCCGCAGAGCGCCAGAAGAGCACCCAGCAGTGATTTCAGAAGAGCGCAGCAAGAAGAGGAATGGCAAATATACAACATGGAAACACAGGGGCGTTGAAAGAAACGCGCCCACAAAGTGAACACAAAGGGGCGCGGCTGCGAGGTCCCGAGGTGGTCCGCGTGGGACGTACCGCCGCTGGGCCTCCC